AAAAAGGGGAATAGATTTGCATTTTCCACATGCCCCTCACGTGGGGTAAAGCAAATTAAAGGGAAATAGGAAATTGAGTTGTCCCGTAATAAGTTTGTATTGTATAGGTAGGAATTGTAATTAATTTTCAAGTGGGCAACACCGGGTAATTACTTTGGCCTTGATAGGCATTATGTGTTATTTCCTCTATTTTAAATGACATAATAATTTTATGTCACAAAATTTTGAATTTTTTTTCCTAGTAAAATTTATGTCCAGCTACAACTAATTAAAGTCATTCAATGAAGAATAACATTGTATTGTTCCTTTGTTATGACAATCAAACTCATGAAATCTTGGTATGTTAGTCTAGAAAATAAATTTCAAAGTTCTTAAGGTTTCAAAAGTGCATTTATACCTTTTAGCACGATGCGAAAGTAATGAATGCACCTGCATAAACACTACAAATACAATATTCCTGTTCATGGAGGATGGCGATATACGGTGTATACACCACTTACTACTTCTTGTGTGCTCTAGGTGAATCTATCAACGTTAGCGAGATTGAAAATTAAAAATTTATGAGTTCTGAATTTACCATCAAATTCATAAATCATCTTAATTACTAATGAGTTCTAATTAAATATTTATAATTAAGTCTAAAGAAAAATTACTGAATTCGTTCGAATTTGTATATAATACTCTAGCTCCGTCCCTAACGATGACTCACCCGTCACCACCATTCCTTAAAGCCCCACCACCCCAAATTCGTTTCCTCATTAATATTAATAGGAGTAATCATCATAATAAATGGCATGCTTCCAGTACAGACCCTCTTAGACACAACGCACGCCGGTCATAACCATCTCTCTGCTGTCTTTGCCTCTTTGAAATCTCCTTTTCTTTGTTTCCTTTTTTTTTTCTTGGGTTACTAGCGGGAGTGCGATGATTGGGTTATCTAGTCATCCAAGTGGGGGGCTTGGACTTCTTCATTTTTTTTTTCTAAGTTATGTTTGATATAGCATAATATTTTTATTTAAAGCTAATTGGAGAGTGCTTTTGATGATGTTTTTAAGTACTAGTAAGAATTAATATTTTCTAGATATTAGTTAATTAGAGCAAGTAATATGAAGTGACAAGGCAATTATAGAAAAATTACTTTCCGCCCATAGGTTAAAAAAAAAGTTATTTTCCTCCTTATCAGGATAAAATTTTAGACAGAAAATATATAGATTTCCTCATGCATACTAAAACACACCAATTGGATTGCGGAGGGAGGGAGGGAGGGAGGCGGAGGAGTGGGGTTTTTTTGATTTAAGGTAGATTATGAGTGTGGCAGACAACCAAAAAACATAAGAAGGCTAATAACAGTTGATATACTCCATCCGGTCCAGTACAATAAGTGATTAATTTGACTTTTTGTTTTGGTCCAAAATAAGTGTCCATTTATATAATTAAGAAAAACTTTAATTTATTTTTCCAAATTTAACCTTATATACGTATTCCTAAAAAGTTTTTTATTCCTCACATTAAATTATGCTGCAACATTTAATTAAGAATAATTTAGTCACACTAACTATTTTTATCTAGAATTTAGTATTTTCTCTAGGAATATTTAACCCTCCAATTTGAGAATAATCTCAAGACTTTTCTGGCAACTATATTTATATCTCCCCAACTCTTCATTTACCCTACAATAATATTCCTCTTTATTTTTGTTACATAAGCGAGCTCTGCAATTTGAATAACTGTCTGCGATCGATCTCCGATCCAATGGGTGGGTTTGCGATATCAGAGAAAATGCAACTGCATTTGGCCATGTTGGCGTTGCAGTTTGGTTATGCTGGTTTCCATGTCGTCTCCAGAGCTGCACTTAACATGGGCATCAGCAAAATTGTTTTCCCCGTTTACAGGAACATTCTTGCTTTGCTTCTCCTTCTTCCCTTTGCCTATTTTCTTGAAAAGTAAGTAGTACTAGTTAATAACTGCAATCCCAAGAAAATTGTGTATATTAGGATCGATCTAATAACTCCTGTTCTATTTTTATTAATTCAACAGGAAAGAGAGGCCACCTCTTACTTGGTCCTACACGCTTCAGTTTTTCCTGCTAGCAGTTATTGGGTATGATATATACAAATATATATGGAATTACACGATTTAGGCTAAAACAAAAAAAAGAGAAGAAAATAATTGGCATTTCTTCTGTACTGTGTTTGTCCTTTAACAGAATTACTGCAAACCAAGGATTCTACTTGTTGGGCTTGGATCACACTTCCCCTACTTTTGCTTCTGCCATACAAAATTCTGTCCCTGCTATCACATTTCTCATGGCTGTAATGCTCAGGTAACTTCTGATCTCTTCAAAATCGGCGAGTTTATGGTTGCAAATTAGGATAACATGCAATATAATTGTTCCGCTTCGAACATAAATATGTGAATTATCGTACATGAAGCACACAGCTTACATAATTAAACCAAGTGCATTTTTTTTTACTGACAGTGCAAAATAAATAGTTATACAATCAGATTAATTTTAAGAATTTTTTTTATATAGTAAGGTTAATTTTAGTCCTCATCATTCGCACGCGGATAGAGCGTAATGAATATTGAGGATTCATTTAGTCAACCTCAACTAATGCATTACTAAGACGAATAATGAATATTCCTCATATTTTTTTTCTTTTTGTTTGAATTTTAGGATAGAAACAGTGAGATTTAACAGGAAAGATGGAATAGCAAAAGTGTGCGGAACATTGTTGTGCGTGGCAGGAGCATCAGTAATTACACTATACAAAGGACCAACCATTTACAGCCCAATTCCACCATTACAAAGGACCTCCACACCTGTATTGTTATTAGGAGATGCTAAAGGAAAGAACTGGACACTGGGCTGTATTTTCTTAATAGGGCACTGCTTGTCGTGGGCAGCGTGGCTAGTGTTGCAGGCACCAATTCTTAAAAAGTACCCTGCTAGGCTATCAGTCACATCTTACCAGTGTTTCTTTGGAGTTATACAGTTCCTTATTATTGCTGCTTTTTGTGAGAGAGACCCTCAGGCCTGGCTTGTTCACTCTGCTGCTGAGCTCTTCAGTGTCTTCTATGCGGTAAGCATTTCAATCTCTTTTTCTTTAAGACCAGAATTTGAAATTTATAGATGACAGCTTCGTTCCTAAATAATAGTATCATGTGAAATATAATTGTTACAAAAATTGAGGTTAGTAACTCTGAAAAATAAGATATAATACGTCGATGATACAGTTTTTTTAACCTGTCACATTTTATAAGTTAAATTTGTTTCTTTTTTTTTTCTTTTCAAGAGTAATCCAGTCAGTTATAATAGTAATCAGCAAGGAAAGTCAGAAAATATAGAATGTTCTTTGCGGATTAAAAAAAATGTTATCATACTTATTTGGTTAGTTAGTATTTTTTATTTGATTATGTTTTTATTAAAATAGAAACTCTTACAAAATTTTAATATTAAAAACTATAAATTTATAATGTGGTTTATGTAGTGTCTAAATATGTACGTTCTGATCAAATAATTAAGAATTGTTGTTTGAATTCGTATAACTATAAATAAATTGAATCGGGCACTTTAAACTGTGACATTCATTTTTGAACAGGGAAAGTATATATCGTTTACCTTAATAGGCCCCCTATAAGGTTAGAGACAAAAAAAAAAAGAAAAAAGGAAAGAAAATGGAGGAGAAATTTTAGTTAAAGGCTGTCTCTGCGACATTAATAATGTGGGCAAAGAAACAGCAAAGCAATGGACCTGCCTAAAGTATTTCAGGGGAAATTTCATGTGACACGCGAGGTTATTAGTCAACGTTAACCTTTCTAGATCTATTGTTTTTTATTCGCTCAAATACCCCATCTCATACTCCCTCTATCGAGTGAAAAAAAATACTCCCTCCAAGTTCAAAAAAATTATAGACACGTAAATATTATGATTTGTTTAGGATTATAAATTTACTCTTTTCGTTTACTTTTACTTATCATATTTCGATTTTCGAGCGTCAATTTAACTAATTTTTATCCTAAATTGTATTAGATTATTTTAATATTTTTAAAATTAAAATTTACATATTCGAAAACAAAATTTAGATAATCGAAAACTATACGGAAAGTACTATAATTTATAATTTTTCTCATATTAATATGGTGAAAAAACACAAATTAAAATATTGATTAAAATTTATGTAGTTTGACTCTCGAAAAATAAAACATGACAAGTAAAAGTAAACAGAGAATAAAAATTTCATTTGTTTCTTGAACTCCATAATTCAATCAACTAGGTCCACATAATTAGTACAATCCGACAGAGAATGTATAATAGGGTGGCCATGCGGTTAGTTACAGAAAATGAAATGACATTAATTAGTCATTCCTTATTATTTATTTGTTTTTGGAGAAAATGAGGATGAAATTAATTGCAAAGAAATGATAAATGCAGGGAGTAGTGGCATCTGGGATAGCATTTGCTGTACAGATATGGTGTATTGACAGAGGGGGCCCAGTCTTCGTTGCTGTATACCAACCTGTTCAGACTCTTGTTGTTGCCATTATGGCTTCCGTTGCTCTTGGCGAGGAGTTTTACTTGGGAGGGTACCTATTTTTCTTTCTCGATCTCTCATTTAACGCACTACTCTCGACTTGAATTATTTATAGTTAAAATATTTTATACTGAGTTAAATTCTCAAAAAGATAATACCTAAATGATGTATTGTACAAATTTGCACATATTAATTTAAAGTCTGGATTCGTAAATAGACCCAAATATTAATGCTTTCCACCCAATCCCCGTAAAAACAAACACGCAGTTTTTTCTTAATCTTCTTTTCTGGGCCAAGGCTAATTAATTCTTTCCTCAATCATGCAATTCCAAGCTGACCCTTCAATTAATGCACATTCCTTTACCTCTATGACAAATGTTTGGAACATATATGGGTCATGCAGGTATGCAAGAGACTTTAGTACTATTGCTTCTCCTTTAGTTGAAGTTATTAAAAAGATAACATTTTATATAGGAAAAAAATAAGATGATGCATGCATAGATAATTCCTTGATATTACAAATTCCTTGTTTAGTATATTTTCTTAACTGATGTGTTATTAATACAAGTATTAGTAATACAACCTACTATATATAAATAATACATAGCAAATTATAGTATATTAGCAATACCAAGGCTATTAATGCATGCATTAACATGATTAAAGATAAAATTATTCTTAAAGTCCCTTAAAGCTAAAGAATACAGAGGGCATTTATGCAAACAATTAATTTTCCTAAAAATTATGCAATGCATTTTAATTGGTAATACACCACACCAAACAATGGACAAGAAATAGTCTGTGCATAACTAATGCTTGCATTACTAATTACACATGCATTACCAATCAACGCATTACTAATACACCTTATTCAGCACTATACTTATACACCCTACCTAATAGCTTCTTTTTCCACATCACTTGTGATTGTGCAGGATCATTGGAGCGGTGTTGATCATAGCAGGGTTGTACTTCGTCCTATGGGGTAAAAATGAAGAATCCAAGTTTGCCAAAGCAGCAGTTGTAATCCAGTCCCCAGCAGATCATATTAACAACACTAGTACTAGGACAGCCAGCCACATCAGCTCCTCTTTGGCTCAGCCACTGCTTGCTCACTCAACTGATCAAACTGCAGCTTGACCAGCAAAAACCTACTAGTAACTCTAAACGACAAGAGTTTTCTGGATACCAGAAAAAGAAAAGTTTTCAGAAAAAAGCAAAAAAGGCTTTTGGTGTGTTTATGAAAGTTCTTTTTCTTTTCCATTTAGGTCCTTATCCTTTTTTTCTTTTTTCTTTTTTGCCTTCCTTTTTAGTTGCTTTACTTTCACTTGGGGAGAGTGGCTTAAAGCCAGGGATGAGAGGGATGGTGGAGGGATAAAACAAAAGAGAAGAAAAACAGGGTGTGATGATTGCTGTATTATTTTTGATGTGGGGGTCTCTGCATGCAAATCCCAAAGTTGGTTTTCTTATTGCAATGCTATGGATGAAATGAAATAGAATACAATTCTTCTTCTTTATTTTAATTGATTTTTGGATGTTTTCGCACATATTAAAAATTTTATATTTTAACATTAATTAACAATAAAATTGATCATATTAATCTTAATTTGTTCATTAGAAATATAACAAATACTTCTAGGCTCTTTACTCTAAGGGTAACTTTAAAAAAAAAAAGTTAATTCCCTGTTGATATATGAAAAAAAAATCAAATATTGTCGGACCATAAAAAAAGGCCGAAAAATTAATTAAAATGAGCCGAAGAATATATGATGCTGATTTAGAAAGTGCAATTTTTTCTATAGAATGGTAATTGGTGGACCCTAAGATTGCAAAATGATAGTAATTATGTATTGCTAAGGGAAAGGGGCAGCACGCAAGTTGATAATTACACATAACATCATCACAAAACTCTTTCAGTATTTTGCGGCTGGCATGACAAGGAATCGCTCCAAATCATCACTCATCACATATTCTTTGAAGCATAGCGTGAACTTTTGGAAGGCACCATTTAACTTTTACATAATCATTTTATTTATAGTATAATTAAAAGTAAATATTACGTATAATATATATTGTTTACCGTGAAAAGGGTAATAATAATTAAATTTGTTGATGTGACTTTAAAAATAGGTAATCTATTTTTATGCTAGTTGTTAAGCAGTTGATGCTAGATATGTGGAGATAAAAGATGAAATGTGAGCTAAAATAAAATTATAATCGAACCGGGAGTTTAGCTGTTCAGGCCTCGGACTGATCGATGAGGGGCCTCGAGGTTGATGCCAGGGCTCGGGCTCGAGCTATCGGGGATAATCGGGAAAGGGCTAACAGTTAGGATATGATTATGGGAGGCTCTTTATGGCCAACCGACAAGCAATAAATGAAGAAAAGTATGAAGTCAACAAATAAGAGCAATAGTGCCGAAGGAATATGTTAAAGAGAAAAGAGAGAGAGAGAGTTGTTATTTATCTTGTGTAGAATAGTTGGAGCAACAACAGCCTTTACAAAATGGCAAGGATCCCCTTTATATAGGAGGAGGATCCCTACATAGTACAAAATGCATTAATTATAAAGGTATGGAGATGGGACGGCTAGACATGACACCTTGATACAAGTTCCGGGCAGGCCGGCTTTGTCAGACTTAGCCGCGTGCCTTGGGAATTCCCCATTTTTACTCTAGCCCCGAGCGATATTCTCTTTAGGTCGGGCCTCGACGAGCTTCGAGGGAGGGAACTCAGTCACAGCTTCGCGTCCTCGAGGCCTCGAGATGTTCTTCTCGAATGACCTAATAGCAAGAAATCAGACCCTCTGATTTCGCCGCATATATATAAATTATTTCAATTGATTATTTAACAAAATGATTACTAACCTATTATTGTATAAATTTAAAAAAAGAAAGAGACGTACCACAACAATGACATGGAAAAAAACTAACAAGCACATTATTGAGTAAAAAGTAGTATAGTATTTGTATAGCTTAATGTAGAGAGGGGTAATTTTGTCATTTATATCCTTCCTCTACTAACCACCGTGAAGTGGTTATATTAGTTAATGTTGTACCTTCAGTTGTTGGTTAATACAAAATTAGATCTTCTCCTTCTCTCTCTACAACATTGTTCAATTTCTTCATGCTTCAATTGCATGCGTATGAATTTGAGTTTGTCAAGATAGAACTCAGATTCTATCATGGTATCAGAGTGATCGATCAAGATTTAGGACCAAAATTTTTCAATTTTTCATAGGAAGATTGCTGAAGCAGATCAGCTATGGGAGAACCAGAAGTTGAAATTCCTCAAATTGATCATAATCATCCTTTGTATCTAAGAGAATCAGACACACCTGGTGTGGGATTGATCGACATAAAACTCACAGACCCAGAAAATTATGGCCTGTGGAGTCAAGCTAAGCGAACAACACAGTTGGTGAAGAACAAGTTAGGGTTCATAGAAGAAACTTGTGTAAAAGACTCGTTCAAAGGTGAATTAGCAAATCAGTGGGAAAGATGTAATGCTATGGTGTTGCCATGGATAGGAAAGACAGTGCGGTGGAATTGCAATCTAGCATCATTTATGCATCAAAGGTGTGAAGCGAGTTTAAGGAACAATTTGATAAATCGAATCTAACTCAAACTTATAGGCTATGAAAAATGATAGGATCACTGAATCAAGGCACATACTCAGTCACTGTTTACTACTCCAAGATGAAGGATCTTTGGGATGAAATGGACTTGTTAGTGGAAGGACCTGGGTGTGATTGTGAGAAAACAAGGCCTTTCATTAAATAGTTTAGGAATCTGAGACTTTTACAATTTTTAGTTGGCTTAAAAGAAAGCTACAGCCATGTGAGTAGCCAAGTGTTACTCAAAACACCTGTGTTGACGGTCAATCAGGAAAATGCCTTGGTCATACAAGAAGAGAGCCAAAGAACCCTTGGAACTTGGTAATCTAATAGTGAGGTTTTGACCATACTAGCTCGGAAAAATCAGACATTCAATCAGGGATCAAAAGTAAAGAAACCAGGGTTGATTTGTGATTTTTGCGGCTACAAAGGTCACTAGAAGGAGAACTGTTATAAGATCATAGGATATCCTCCGGATTTCAAGAGTAAGAAGAAAGCACAAAACAAGGAGTCAAACTTTATGCTAATGTTGTTGCTGCTGAGACAGGGGATACATCAAGCACTCAGCCCACACAGGGGAACTTCTTCACGGAGGATCAATACAAGCAACTACTAAACATTCTGAATAAACAGGACACATGTGACTGTCACTCACTTATGGCAGGTATAAATGCATTGTTATCAAATGCCTTTTTATTGTGATTGGATATTAGACTCAGGTGTTTCACATCATATTATCGTTCATAAGGAGATCATGTATGATATTAAGGATTGTAGTTCACACAACAATAGTGGAGTGCAAGTACCAACAGGAAATAAGTGCAAAGTGTCCCATACAAGAAATGTCTCTATATTGGACAATCAAGTTTTGAAGGATGTTTTACATGTTCCTGACTTTAAGTTCAACTTATTGTCTGTTTTAAAGATGACCAAGGAACTGAATTGTATTGCAATGTTCTTCCCTGACTTCTATGTTCTGCAGGGTCTTTACAATGGGAAGGTGATGGAGACTGATAAGGAATCATGTGGACTGTATCTTTTGCAGAGGAGATCAATACCTACAACAACAATGGTCAGTGATAGTACAAATGATTAAGCCCTATGGAACATGAGACTAGGACATCCTTCAATAAAGGCAATGCAGCATATCCAACAGTTGAGAAACTCAGTGGACAGTGGAGTGCAGCATAATTGTGACATGAAGCATTATTTTATTACAGTGGTAAATGATTACAGTAAATTCACTTGAATATGTTTGTTGCAATCAAAGAGTGAAGTAATAGTTGTATTGAAGAGTTTCTTTTCAATGGTTAAAGATCAATTTGGTGTGACTGTCAAAACATTAAGATCTGACAATGGAACTGAATTCTTCAATTCTAGCTGCAATGAATTGTTTTCTTCATTAGAAATTGTTCACCAGAGTAGCTGTCCCTACACACCTCAACAGAATGTGGTAGTAGAGAGGAAGAATAGACACATTATGGAAGTAGCTAGAGCTTTGAAGTTCCAAAGCTCAATTCCTAACAGGTTTTGGGTGAGTGTATAAAGGCTGTTGTGTATCTGCATAACAAATGACCTACTTCTGGTTTAAGGGGAAAGTCACCTCATGAGCTTTTATACAATAAACCATCGGACATAAATCACCTTAGGGTGTTTGGTTGTCTCTATTATGCTATTAATCTACCAAAATGAGATAAATTTTGTCCAAGAGCCAATAAATGTGTATTCGTGGGATACTCAACAACTCAAAAGGGGTACAAACTTTATAATCTAGAGAGGAGGATTTTTCTGGTCAGCAAAGTTGTCAGCTTTAGGGAAGATATATTTCCATTCAAGAATACTGAACTGGATTCTGATGATTTGTTTCTTAAGCAGCCATAGCTGGTAGTGCAATCAGCTCAACCTAGTATTGAACAAGAATCAGATACTACTCAGGAGCAAGTAACACATGCTGAATCAGCAAGTCAACTTGATGATGTTGGTGTTCAGGAGCAAGTTACACATGCTGAAGTTTTAACAGAAGCTCATAAGGATCATTGTGTCATATCTCCTGATGCAATTTCAAGGTAAACATTGACACCAGTTGCAGACACTTCACAAAAACAGTTAAATGATACAACAATTCCACCACAACCATCAGAACAACAACCATCCGTTTAGGAAATAGCTCATGATGTTAGAAAATAAGGATGAATATCTAAACCTCCCATTTGGCTGAAGGATTATGTGACAATAAATAAGACTATCACTCAGTGCCTTTATCCACTGTTTAAAGGGCTATATTATGGGAATCTAACAACAAGATATCAATCTTATTTGAAGGCTTTTTCAGCCTGCATTGAACCTAACTCCTTTAAGGAGTCAGTTCAGGATGATAGATGGGTTGAAGCCATGCATCAGGAGATACAAGCACTTGAAGATAACAAGAATTAGGAACTAGTTGATTTACCTATAGGGAAGCAATCCATTGGATCTAAATGGGTCTTCAAAGTCAAGTACAAAGCAAATGGAGAGGTAGAAAGATTCAAGGCTTGTTTGGTAGGCAAATGATACATTCAAAAGGAAGGACTTGGCTATCATGATACTTTCTCACCTGTTGCCAAAATGGTTATAGTGAGACTTGTTATCAGTATAGCTACTTCCAAAGGTTGTCCGTTATACCAAATGGATGTTAATAATGCATTCCCACAAGGAGACTTATATGAAAAAGTCTACATGAGTCTACCCCAAAGATTTACCAAATAGGGGGAGACCAAAGTATGTCGACTTTTGAAATCTTTGAATAGACTCAAACAAGCCTCTAGACAATGGAATATTAAGCTTACTGAGGCTTTGGTAATGAGTGGATATAAACAAAGTGCATTTTATTATTCTTGTGACGACCTGGCCGGTCGTCTTAAGAATTCATGCCCTGATCCCC